GGAGCCATTGCTGTTTCCCCTCTCTTTTTTAACAATTGAGGAAATGCAGGGCACTATAATTTATCCTTCAGAATATTTCAAAAACATTTATATTAAGTGTTTCTTTCTAGGCAGGCTCATGTCTATATCATTGCTGGTTCCTGTTTGTCCCTGGGTTTTCGATTTGCTGGTTCAGAAAATCTGGCCGCATTTAACTGTTTGGTAAGTAGATTAATAGCTAATTAGTGTTTGATGTGATCTGGGACATTTTGCAAGTTCAGAGTACCTTACTATGATTCGAAAAACCCTGTTTCCATTTGGTTGAAAGACAAATGAGCCATGTCAGGCTTCATGAATGCAAGGATACCTGTGGAAATCTAATGTCAGCATGCATGAAAGTTGAAGAGAGTAGAACAAGGGAGCCCTCTTTTAGCTCATGACTAAAGTAATGGTAGTGTTTTGGGCGTCTCATGACTGGGACAAATGCTCACTGATATTTTTAGCTTATTTGAAACAATATTTTTAAAAGTCACAGCAAATAAATCTATATGTAACTCTTTTCAAGAAAAGTTTGAGGGTTTTCTTAAGGAAATATTTCTAGTATTAATTTGCTTGATTTTTCATCAACTTTTGATCCCTGAGTTTTTGCTAGTTAACTTAGATAAAAAGATACTGTGCACATCTGTTTTTCTTAATACATAGCATTATTCTATAGCAATACAGTTGCCTTCTTTTAAACTCTTCTCTCTTTGACTCTCCCCAGAGTCTTTCCCCAATGATCAGTTATTTCACTTTTCCCCAGTCAAATTCTTGTTGCTGTCTAGGGATAGTGGAAATTCCAAGCCAGAACTTCTGGACAACACTGAGTTGGGGAAGGTGGAATTAGTATTTTAACTAGCTGTACTGCTGGACAGCTAGCTAACATAATAATCTGTTCCTTAACTATCAGACAACAATTTAAATGGAGTAGAAATGACAATGCTTATCTTTCAGTGTATTTAAAAACACAACACTACAAAATGTAGTATACAATATTGTGCAGCTGAATGTTTGTATTTTAGAGAATTTCATGAGACTGGGACCATAAATGAGAAGACATTCTTCATTTGCCTGATAGAGATTCTTGCCTTAGCTAGATGAACCTCAAATATATTTAACACTGATTCTATGAAAGAGGGGAAATTCCTTATGGGTAGCACTGTAGCAGAAGGTCTAGTTTGCATGACTGGAATCTCTCAGTTCTCTTTCCATTCTATGCTTTTGTTTTTTTCATTGCCATAATATATTTGCTCATCTTGAATTTCTCTTTCTAGTTTGCATTTGCAAAAGACTTCATGAAGTGTTTATCGTCAGCTACAGCTTCTATTGTAAGTTTTAAAAAATTCATTATGGTATTAGTAAAAGTGAAGTTTTATACTAGCATTCTTGTTTAAATTGATTGTGGTTTATTAGATCATCAAACTAGCTCACAGAAAATTCTATGTTGCCTTATCTTTCCATGTCCATGCATACATACTTAAAATACTAGTAATAATAAACTACACAAGTTGCTTCAGTAATATGAATGCAAAAAACCATATATTCTTTCTGGAAAGAATCAGATTTTTAAATTAGATACGGTGTAAGCCATATACTACGAAAGAGAGAATTTTGTGTCTTAACATTATTAATAACACCGTTCCTCCATTTTAGTAGGGAAAATAACTTTGGGGATTCTATCAAATTATTAGGAAAGCCTTGTTATACAGGATAATCATAGTAAAGAAATGTTGAGATCTACTAGACATACAGTAGAACCAGATGCCATATAAAGCAACTCCTAGTTGGGGGGGGGGGGGTAAGAGGCAGGAGAAATGAAAATAATGCATTTAGGATGCATTATTATTAGCAACTAGGACAATTAAACGCCTGGAAACGAAAACATGAAGAACAGTTGCAAGAACTGGGTATAGTTAGTCTAGACTAGAGGAAAGAAGGACGAGGTGTGACATGATAGCAGTATTTCAGAATTTGAGGGGCTGCCACAAAGAAGAGGGGGGTCAGCGTATTCTCCAAAGCACCAGAGGGCAGGACAAGATACAATGGATGGAAACTAATCAAAGAGAGAAGCAACCTGGAATTAACGAGAAATTTCCTAACAGTGACGACAATTAACCGGTGGGACTGTTAGCCTTCAAGAGGTTGTGGGTGCTTCATCAGTGGAGGTTTTTAAGAAGAGACTGGACAGCATTTGAGATTTATCAGGCTGGTAGGAATTCATACTCCTCTCAAAAATAATATCCATTCATTCTCCCCCCCCCCAAACGGTTCTTAATTTTAGTAGTTAATTTTATAACTACTAATATTTCTAGTCTTAAATAATTGGCAGCACAAATCCCTTGATGATTACTAGTAGAGACAATTTGTCTTTTAGCTGCTCTGCTTAGATTGCGATGGACATTTTTTGTTGGCTGGGAGCTGGTGGACTTAGAATGGAATAACAGAGTTGGAAAGGACCTTGGAGGTCTTCTAGTCCAACCTCTTGCTTAGGCAGGAAACCCTAGACCATTTCAGACAAATGGTTATCCGATTTCTTCTTAAAAACTTCCAGTGTTGGAGCATTTACTTTATTACTTAATGGTGTTTTTATTATGTTTACCGGTCAGGGGCTGTAGTTATATGACTGTAATAGGGTAACTTTATTGGAGGGGGGGGAGTAGATTTTCAGCTTGTTTCTTTCAGTGTTTAGGTGATGGGGAAGAACTTTAACATTTAATACAAAGCTTGATTTGCATCCACAAAAAAAATACCTGACTGTTAAAAATCAGTATTTTCCCACTGAATGATGATGGAGTGATTCTGGGCACCGGGTTTGGGTGCCTAGGTACAGGATGTGGGTTGCTTATTATTGGTATAAATGATTTCTTTTTCAAAGTAAGTATTGCGGAAGTTGGTGTGCTTTATATAGTCTGTCATTTGCTAAAATTAGTTTCTCTAAAGATTGCAATCTTGCAGCTTAGAAGCATATTTAGAATGTGCAAAAGTAGGTATAAAAAAACAATCTCTTCCATATTTCTTAGGCTGGACACTATAATCTAGAGACTTGTCTGAGTGTGGTATTGCTTTCCCTTGCAATGGTGATGGCAGGATCTGGGAACCTGAAGGTCCTTCAGCTCTGTCGTTTTCTACACAAGAAGACTGGTGGAGAAATGAACTATGGATTTCATATGGCACACCATATGGCTCTGGGACTCCTCTTTCTGGGAGGAGGAAGGTAATCTGTGATTTGAAAAATAATCTTCTGCTCCTTAATCCTTTATATTTCCATGCATATAAACATCCAGAATACAAACAAACCCTGAAGAATCTAAGATCTCTTTGCGATTAACCTTGGTATACAGATAGGCTGCAAGGAAGGATATATATCTTTGTATCCACAGTATTGTTTAGTTATATAAATTTAGGATAATCATAGCATTGTGAGAACACCAGTCTTTAGATTGGTTGTTTTATTCGAGGAGTAACAAAAACATGGAAACATTGAAAGGGATCTCATAAGAGCATTTTCAGTACTGGCACTTTCCCCGATGGTCTTTCACTGCTTTGTTAAGACTTGACTTAATCAGACAGTCTATAAATTTTATCTGATATTTATGTGTTCTACTTTCTCACCTTTATGGTGTAATTCTTCTTGGTAACTTTTAAAAACCACGTCCCCTTGTATTGGTTTTACTGTTTTTCCTCATGCTGTGTAATCATAAGTACAGGTACAAGAAAGACAGGATATAAATTATATATATATATAATTTTATATATGTTTTCTTAAGAAAACCATACCATGTATGGTATTCAGCTTTGTTCGGGTATTTTCCCACGTCATTGTGGTTGTGCTTTTAAAATTGTAGCAACGTTTCGGCAGAATCTCATCTGCCATCATCAGGCTTCTGTATTGTGTATATATATATAATGGAAGTATCTTGGCGACGTTTCGACAAAGTCTCATTCGTCATCTTCAGGCTTGTGTCTTCGGCTTTGTGCTTCTTGGAGTAATGTGAGCTTGCAGCTGCTTCTTCCTTTCAACTGCTAGTGGGGGTGTGACTTGATTGGGTGGGAGCTTGGCTGTGTTCTGATTGGGTGGGGGTGTGTTCTCATTGGTTGGGGGTTTGGCTGTGTTCTCATTGGTTGGGGGTTTGGCTGTGTTCTGACTGACTGGGGGTGTGTTCTCTTCAGGTGGGGGCTTGGTTGTGCTCAGGTTAGTCTTAGTTGCCAGGGGATTTGAGCTGGTGAGCTGTGATCCTGTTGTTTGGCTTCGCGTTCGTGGTCGTGCCACATCTTCATGGTGGGCGTCTGTTCGCTTCATGTATGGGTCAGAGGGGTTTGAAGCGGGTAGTGATGCAGCTGCCGTACGGCTTCTGGTCCGTGGTCGTGTTTCATCATCTGTGTGGGTGTGAGTCTGCTTTCTATGTGGAAGTGTGGTGGTAGCATCTTGTGTGGCCCTCGTGTGTGTGGGTCTCGTGTCATTCTTCATGTTAGGTACTCGTTTGTTAATGAGGGGCGGGTTTCCAAATGGCTGGTAGGCGTGAGGTATCATCTCGTTTATTCATGCTGTGTGGGCGTTTTTCTATCTCTATGGCTTCTCTGATTATTCTGTTGTTGAAGTGTTTGTTCAGTTTTGGTGATAGTTCTGGTATTTTTAAAGTCAATCTCATGTCCTGTGGCTTTGAGGTGTTGGACCAGGGAAGAGATCGGTTCTTCTTTTTTGATTGAGTTCTTGTGTTCTTCAATGCGTGCACTTATTCTTCTGTTGGTTTGTCCGATGTATGTGGTGGGACAGGCGGTGCATGGGATTTCGTATACTCCTTGGTTTTCTAACTCGATTCTGTCTTTAGGGTTTCTTAGGATGGTGGATATTTTTCTGTTTGTGCAGAATGCTGTTTTAATGTTGTGTTTTTGGAGGATCTTGCTGATTTTGTCTGTAGTGCCTTTTATATATGGGAGGAGGGCTTGGTTGGGGTTTCTTTTTGGATTAGGTGGGTAATCTTCTTTCTTTGGAATCCATTGGCTGTTAGTACGTTAGTGAGAGTGTGTAGTTCGGTTTTTAGGTGTTGTTCGTCGGCTAAGCATTTTGTTCTGGAGATGAGTGTCTCGGCTACGGAATTGATCTGTGCTGGGTGGTGGTGTGAGAGTGCGTGTAGATAGCGGTTTGTATGTGTTTTCTTCTGATAGATGGTGTGTCCTAGGGAGCCATTGGATTTTTTGTATACTAAGACAGGGGTCCCCAACCGCCGGTCCGCGGACCGGTCCCGGTCCGCGGAACAAGTCTTACCGGGCCGCTGGTTGCTGGGCGCCGCCATCTTTTTTTGGTAAAAAAGTGCTTCCGGTGAGTTTTTCCGGGTAGAAAGCTCACCGGA